ACGTTCTCTGAATGTGTAAAGCATCTGTCCTAAATAACTACCGTAATATTGTTAGTTATATTGAATTGTTCATTAATCAGCCATATAGTAACTGATTGGCTAGAAACGGCTGCCCTTTATTTTTGATTAGTTACTATAATTCAAAAATAAAAACACCAAATCTGTGCGGTTGATAAGCCATAGTCGTTCTTCACAAGTTCTCGCTGCAACAAAGTTCGCGAATGTTTCAGGCCACGTAAATACGACGCATCAATACGATGAATAGTCGAATCAATGAACTCATCAAAAAAGCCAACAAAAGAAAAAGACTGCGCTTAAGTGATTTCACTTCGTTTTTGATGGCTATGGGCCTCGTGTGTTGGCAAATGAGTAGCTGCTGCAACCAGCTAGTAAACGGAGCCTCCTGTTCAAGTCAGTGTCTACGTGTGACGCGCCAATGACAACCGAGCAAAAGATGATCAATGTCCTCTGCCGTCGTGGACACCTTACTGTGGAGGAGTTAGATTACACATACATCATTCAAAATGCAAAGTTTTGTGTAAGCAGTTCCGATATGGAGAGACCACGTATGGACTTATATTCACGTCGAGTTCATATTAATAAAAACACATATGATGAAATTTATTTATTTATTTATTTATTTATTTTTATTCATTTATTTATTTATTTATTTATTTATTCATTTATAAAACACTACGGATACGTACTCCAAGCAGGGAGGGCTATAAAATTGGTGCAACAGTTTACAGTGAATTTAGAAAAAGAAGAAACAATATGCCGATACATGCGTGTTGTAGTTTTTATGTAATGGGCAGCTTTCGACAATCCGTTATTTAGATGTTTTAAAATAAATGGATGCGTTATTCGTAGGTCGCCGGTTCGGACCTTGCCGGCGGCAAGTTATCTGTTCGCCCACTCTTATTTCTTCACATTTACGTTACAATTATACTTCTGACAACAATCCCCATGCTTTCCCCTGGCATTATTATGAGCTAGTTCTGATCAACGCAGTATCACGTAATTCATGAGGCTTGCACGGTTCACAAGCTGTACCGAAACGCATGGCAGCGCTCGACGCAGTGACGGAACCGTGACGGCGGCCACATCTGACGCTCGTCGAGAGAAGATAGGCGTTTATTGAGAAATACAAGACGCGATCGAGTGACAGTCCCGTATGGTTGGTTGACTGTATACTATATGTCGACTCGCTTCAGTACCGAGCTTCGCCCCGAAGCGCACGTGCCCCTGCTTTATGGGGCAATACACACTACAGCGGCCAAGTGAGCGAAGCAGCGTTCAAAATGGAGGTTCGCGTCGAAAGAGGAAGAAACAGTAAATAATGTCCGGCGTTTTCACAGACTTCTTTACGCAAGGCGTTTGAACTGAATCGCGCTGAACGTCCATTGCATGTTGCTCATCTACCGCGTTGCTTGTTAATATATAGGACGCAGGTGACAAAGAGACGGTCAGGATGCGTGTGCTATAGATACGCACTTTTGTGGAAAAAGGTCGGATGCCATAAATAATGAATGAACAGGATCAGTCGATAGTATAGATACATAATCATTAATTATTTGCCTCAATGGGCCTGCAATTTGATAAACATTATTTTTACACACGGCCGTTTTGTAGTGAGTGTGTGGCGAAGGAAGAAGCAGGGAGGATCAGATAAAACGATGTCAATTCACGGGACCCATTTGAAAAGTGGGGTGCATAGCACGTGTGCCTCGATCAGACTTCAAGTAGACTGGATTTTCAGGGTCAGCGGCTACGATATGTCAACAGCTATAAGTATAATAGTGGAACGCGTTAACGTTAATTGCTTATTTTAGTTAATCAATAAACTATTCTTTTCATTTTTTTTTCGCTGAATAGTGTCCGCTGCGTGGAATAATCAAGATCAAGGATGACAAATATATGCTGCCACCCTCCTACGGCACTCTGATCGAAAAAAAAGTGAGGGGGGTAGATTGAAAAAACAACAACAATACAAATATGCCTAGCATTCAATTTTCCGCAATTTGAGGCTCTCCAATAAATAAAAACGGAGTACGTTTTGAGGTTTCTGAATCGGTGAACTTGTCGTAAATTTATGAGCGTATACAAAACGAAATGCACCGTAAGAAGTACGCTACCAATTCAGTTACGAGAAAAGCGAACGACACACTTTCATACGCGTATCGGGACGTTGTAAAATCAGCTGTCGATACCAAAGGGCATCACAATAGCATTTCGCTCAGCGCTGCGTATCTGGCGGTGCGCAGTTCATACAGTGAAATAACATTCTCAAACGTCCGCGTTTGTAATATCGGTTCGTCTATGGCGCAGACTTTGTTTCATCATCACTGTTTAGCGAATGTCACTAGCACACTGAGTGCAAACCCACGTTGTTGAGCGGGAATAACTTTGTCACTTCTCCCTCCCGTTTCCCCCCTTATTTTTGTATCGAAGAGTACCGACAGTAATAGTAATCACAGTAGTTAGAGTACTGACAGTTAATAACGCATACGTGTCTATTATAAGCACACATGTGTTAGTGGTAACATGCCTCAACTCGAACAAGATTAACTGCCAGTAATTAAATCAGTAATTTAGAATGTGAAGTCAGTAATTATGTGTGTCCGAAATTGCCTAGACATTTCATAAATGCCACTACGTCACGCGCCTTTTCTTAGCAAAGATATGTGAAACAGAAAAACACCCCCACTGCGGATGCTCGCGTCTTATGTCACTCCCCACCCCCTCAACTTAAGTTTTCTAACTGCATACTTGCAATTATAATGTCGTACAGGAAATAACATCAACCAATCTCTTCCACTACACACGTAGATGAGATATTACCATCTGGTAAGCTTGTTTCGGGAATTTGTCCAACCCAAACATCGCAACCGTGAAGGCAAGAGATAAGCAACCGCACCTGACTATAGAGAAGCAGCAACTTTACACCATCTTATCATAGTTACTCCTGTTTTCCGTAGCACGACAGAGCAAACTGCAGCCCAGCTTGACTGCTTTCCGTAGATCGATGTCACTTCACTCTAATCGCACCATAGAAAGAATTTTCAGCTCGCTGACTGCTCGTAGTGATGATTGACTAGTGAACGACTGCTTGAGTAGACTAACATGTTTAAAGACAAGCAGCAGCTTGCAAGTGCGTAGTTCCTGTCCCCTTACATTTTAAAAAGATATCTTCTCGTTTGATTGATTGATTGATTGATTAATTTATATGTGGGGTTTAACGTCCCAAAACCACCATATGATTATGAGAGACGCCGTACTGGAGGGCTCTGGAAATTTCGACCACCTGGGGTTCTTTAACGTGCACCCAAATCTGAGCACACGGGCCTACAACATTTCCGCCTCCATCGGAAATGCAGCCGCTGCAGCCGGGATTCGATCCCGCGACCTGCGGGTCAGCAGCCGAGTACCTTAGCCACTAGATCACCGTGGCGGGGCAATATATCTTCTCGTGCCGAAGTCCTCAGAATAAATTTGTGTGTCACTGGTGCGAACGCGCACTAAACTGTTTTTTTTTTTTCTTCTATAATCTCTGTTTACATCGATCGAGATTGCCTCTCTTCAACAGCTCGGTTCTCTACAGCTCAGTAAACCATTCTTTTGAAATACGATGCATAAGCGATGTAATTCAGAAGTGAATTGTCAATGAGAATAATGAGAACGAATAAAGGACCTGTAGGGAGTTCTACCGGGGACTCAGGTACGAAGTGCCACCCCGCACAGTGTGATTAGGATTAGGACATTACGAGAAATAATAACCAAACAGAATATAATTGCAAAGCAAGACGCGAAGAATATGTATGACTTATTTATTTTTTGTTGTATGTTTAATCAGTTGGTGTGGCAGAATGATTGTTTTATTATTTGTTAGAGAGTTTAGAGAAGAGAGAAAGTGTCCGCAGGTTTGGGACTCCACGATCGAGTCGAAGCAAAAGAAATCACAGGTGGGCAAACGCAGTTACGTTCTCCCCTCGCGAAATTTTTACGATTGGTGGGCATATGAACACAAGCACGAACGTACATAATAGAGCGGCATACCCTCCTCCCCGGAAAATACTGCCTACACTACTGAACACAGCGCTGCCAAAACGGAAGGAGCCCGCCATGAGCACAACTTTTCGAAGTACGCAGGCTACCCCTGCATGTCACGTTTCCAAAAAAGACGGCCATCAGACTCAGGCGCCCGTGTCTGTGTGGTTTTTCTTCATCTGTGTCCCGCGTGTTTTCTTGCGCCATTCATAACTATGGGCTATCAGATGGCCTGTCGATTACAGAAAAACTAGTCGCGCTAATGACAACGAGGGATCGCGAGTCGTTCCCCCCGTCGGGAGCTTTTGAAAACAAGATATATACACGCGCGCAAAGAAAGTCAATCCCACACTGGACAAGCGCGTCAAAAGCATAATCAGAGAGCCGGGGGAGGCTTCGCGGAGAAAAGGCCTTCGAGCGCTGAAAAGTAAAGACGGGACGTCGAGCAAGGAGGGGTCGACAAAAGCAAAGCCCGAAGGCAAGAGCCCGCAGTGGAAAGAAGCGGTGGAGGCGCTCTCCCTCTCCCAGCAGTGCGGAGCCGGACGCAAGACGGTGGAAAGGAGGAGACGCGATGCAGAGAGAACCACCTGGCAGGCAACATTCCTCCGCCGAGTCACGTGACAACCACTCCTCGCTTTAGCGCAGTGTGCGCGTAGGAAAGTAGTGCGCGCGATTTGCGCTCGAAAAAGTTGTTTTCGGCCGAGAAAAAAACCTATAGAAAGTACCAATTTTTTAGCGAGCAAAGATGCTCACACTTTGTGAGACTTAAAGCAACTTGGCCACAGCGTGTAAAGTTTTAGACACAAAGGGAGGAGTTCAAAAACCTTCTTGCGGAGGTGGTTCCCAGACGGGACGTTCGCGGATGGGGCGCGGAAAAGGAGGAGCAGGAGAGGAGGAACACTGCCGAGAGGGGTTTTCGAACAGGTCCGCGTCCGCTTTCAGTGCTGTGTCGGTGGTGCTGCGGTGCGGCACGATTGTGTTCGCATCCGAGTTTGTTGAGTGAACGATGGTGGTTTGAGTGAACGGAAAGTGTCAGTCAGTGGACCACTGAGACTGTGCGCGTGTGAGGGGAAGAGTTGATGCGTGCCGGCGTGCTGTGGATTACGTGCTGCTGGATTACTGTGGCAGCGCGCACCCGGCAAACAATGACAGGCCGCTGGCGGTGACAGCGAACAGCTCAGCAGAGAGAACCTTGCGATTCGGATTAACGGACGGACGCTACCGAAAATGAAGCCTCGGAAAACCGGGGTGACCCTCGTCTTGTGGCTCGCACTGGTTGCAGCTACGATACCAGCCACTGTGCAAGGTGAGCAATTGTATTACCACTTTTTGGAAGCCCGTTGTGATGATGCTCGCCACTGTGCGACAACATCACGGGGGTGCTGCTGCGTCGTTTCTTCTTGAACTCACTCAGCACCTAACACTTGTTTTTCGGTAGGCACTGAGTGGATCTTTCATATGTAATAGTCACTTCGTCAGAAAACAGAGGTTTCCAACTTTGACACGTCTTTTGATTTTTTCTAACAGCATTGTGGTCATTTCCCACTACCTGTCGGTCGGAAATGGCCGCAAGTGCTGACGACATGAAACGGTAATTGCACGCACGCGATCTGTTGTGGGGCCATGATTTTGCCACTCAATATGCAGTGTTGAAGGTATCCCCTCGCACGTACTATATGCATGTCATGGTTCAAGCGATCTGCCGCATGCGAATTTTTGACGGTATTCAGAACGCGTGGTCGTCACGCAACTTCGACGTCGTATTGTCAATGCCTCACTTTCGACCACCTCTGGGTTATCAAGCCCGCTCATTTGCCGGTAAATAATAATGCCACAAAAAGGTCAGGTTCAGCCTGCCCGCGTTTTGAGAGGTGCAGGATAAAGGCGCGATTATAGTCTGGCTACGGCAGCGCTAGAAATCGGCGCGGCTCTCTTGTTCCTGCCTCTCGCCTGTTTCCCCTTCTAGGGCCTCCAGATAAGGCTCACTACTCGAAAGATTGCGCCTATCGTCGAGAGCACTGTACGTGCAACATGCGAGTATTCTGACCGAAAGCGCGCAGCTCTTCGATGGACTCCGTGTATTCCTACAAGTGTGCTCCACCATCTGGCGAACCTTGCGGTGGAGCGCGCTCTTGTGCCATTCTGTGCCTGCTTTTTTACGCGAGCGAGTTCATCGAAAGGGAAAAGGAACAAAGTGGTCGCATTGCGCTAAACGCTGCCGTCGCCGCTCTCTACCCCTTCCGCGTGGACGCGTGTTTATTTTTGTCCACGCTTTTCGAATCGGACCCACGAGGGTCACCACTGGTGTGATTAGGCCTAGTCGTCGTCTGCTGCTCCGCTAGCAGCGGAGGAAGGAGCAAGCCGAGCGGGAGGGCATTGTTCGGGCGCGCGCTGAAAATGAGCTCTCGGAGTTACTTTGCGACGGGATAAACGCCGCTGTAAAATGGGTGATGGGGCTTGATGGTGTATCATTGCTCTAGCGGAGAAAGCTGTTTACCTGGAAGGCGTCGCGCTCTCCCCCGAGACGCTCACCCCCCCCCCCCCCCCTTGCCGTGGTTAAGCCTAACTCCATTTGGGCAGTCAGTGGTTCGTTGACAAAAGACGGACGTTTTCCGATCGGAAACCGCTCAGCGCGCTCAAGCTGTCGGGTTTATAGCCGGCCTTAAGTTTGTTTAATGACTTTGTCACTTATTTAGAAGGTTAGGTAGTTCTTTATGGTGCCTGCAACGAGGCGCATAAGCGGTGCTTGATGACCTGTGCTGATTTATTCATTGCTTAATTTGGTACTCCGATCTTTAGAGCATTATATTGTGAAAGAAAACGGGAAAATATCTTAGTAATCATCTCATGATTACTACTAACATATTTCTGGACGGGCTTGATAGTTTTCGACGCTTATCAAATTAAACAAGTGGTGCATGGAAGTAGGGGCGTGTGCTCTTGGTGGATGACTTAAGCTTATTGAACATCTGTGAAGATAACACGGCCGCGTTAGTGAAGCTTTCCGCGTTGAATAAGGTAAGCTGTTAAGGGCCTATCTATATTCTGTGCGCCTTTAAGATGCCCAAAAATGCCACTAATTACCCGCGTTGAGGGCCTAATAAAACGCACATTTTCTTGTTTTTAATTCGGCGCATTTAAACAGCATGAACAACTGGTGTAAAAAATAAAGATTCATTGCATTGTTTCAGACCTGGCGCATTCTTTACTGCCGCGCTTTCAGCGCTTGTCGACGTTGCATTCCTATTTTCTCACAGTGTTTACACTCGATCTCCCATTTACGTGACAATGCTAACTTGACCACAAGGAACGGACGCTAACATCAATTTTCTGATGGTACCGCAAAATCTATCCAGTTCTCTGGCATGCTAGGTTGTAAATGGTTACACTCGTCAAGAAGACGGGGGTACGCTTTTTCTTCCTGCATGACCAATAGTACCGGGAATGTCGGTTATGCCCTTTTGATTGAATGACTGACTATTCAGCAGCTTCCCGCAAAGTTCAAAATTTCTGTCAGCGCCGCGCAACAGTTTGGGTTTCTCAGCCCCTCGCCTGCTCTAACGAGCATAACATACATGCCGCTTGGTACAGGAGCTGATCTTAGGTTTGACTGTTCTGCTAAAGTCCCCTGGGGAATTTTAACCCATGGGAATGTCCATTACACGGAGAACATTTCTTTCGCCAAACTTTCGAGTGCGCACCTGCGAAGCTTCGCCTTTCTTTGAAGATGTTCGAATACCTTTTATCAGACCCTTAACACAGGTAAGTCATGGTCATTTCGGGCATCTTTAAGGGGCACAAATAATTCAGATGGACCCTTAACAGCCACCTTATTCAACGCGGAAGAGCTCATTAACGCGGCCGCGTTATCTTCAGAGATGTCCCATAAACTCTAGTAGACGTTTGATCGCATGAGCAATAAATAGACTTGTGCTTTGCTTTCTGCCCTCTTAGGCACCTCTCCTTCGACCACTTAGTGCTGGCACTACTCTTCACCACCTTGTGGTAGGATGACCTGCAGGTTGCAATAACGTCGGTACAGGGTTGATCTTGTTCAGCAGAACCATTTCGCTTGTATTCGAGCTGGTAGAGCTACAATACAACATATGCTCAAGTTACCGCAGCTAAACGGGCCTCATACGAAGCCTAATAATGGCGGCCTGGATGACGTCAATGCAGTGTAATCATGCGGCAATTAAAACGCTTCAGTGTGGTAGCGACATAGCTGCAATGTTATTGGGCCTCGGTGCATGAATCGCGAAAGAGCCAGCACGTGATGTACTGACGATGCTAACGTGACATCACAGAGCACACGTCCCACCATGTTAGTGCCCCAAACATGGCTGCTTCAGTGACGCAAGTCATCTTGAATGATACTTTTTTTTCCTCTCGTCTAAATTTTGAGAGACGTTGTACATTGCGAAACAACAAACATTTCGGTAGTGATTACGTTTCCGTTTTGACCGACGGTCCCTTTAAACCATCTTGTATATCATATTTGTTTACGTTACGCACTCCATGTTGGTTTTCGATTAAATTGAAATGTTCAGGTTGCGGTTTGCATAACGCTAATGAGGTATCGGGAAGCCATGTACTCGAGCGACCAGTTTACTCCAAAATTGTCCCAGTTTTAGGGGGGGGGGGGGGTATCGAGAGAGTGACGCGGTTGTCCCGTAGGAGGAAGTTGCCGGGCTCGGGCCTCGGGGGCCAGGCGAGATGGCGCGCAGGTGCGCTCAGTCACTTCCCGCACAGACGCGGCGGCGGAAGGGGAGTCACCCCCTCCGAGCAGCTGCTCCAGCCGGGGAGGGGCCCGCGGGCACGGCAGATGGCCCAGACCGTGTGAACTATGCGCGCCCGAGCTGCGCCTGTCTCCTTCTTCTCCCGGCCCCATCTTGCCAACGACGCAACCAGGGCGGAGTCGCCTGGGCCCTCACGCGCGACATCAAGACAAAAACTTGACGTCACGAGTTTTTGAGAGGGCCTGACGCAAAATAATCATTATTACCCCCCTACTTTCTTTCGTATCGAAGTACGCAGCTCCTCAACCCTCTCCTTCCTTTCTTTAGCGGTCTTGTAGTAACCGTGACATCTGCGGCTCCCTGCGCATCTTAAGATGACGACGCCACTTTACTGGTAGAATTTTTGTTCAACAATGGCTTCGACAAAAAAAGACAGGAAGGGACACATGGCACGAGCGCTTGCGCTTTTTGCGTTTCTTCATTGTGAACTCGTTCGTTCAAACAGCAGAACCTAGCTCCACCCCCCCCCCCCCCCCAGCCTTCCCTGTCACTGATATGTAGGTCGAAGGTCATGGAGCCCTATATCGTAAATGTTAATTTCAGTTTCTTGCTTGAGCACTGGTTTCGTTATTGGCTTTGAACAGTACGTTATCGCCTGTATCCACCAACCAACTCGACGGATAAGAAAGGACGAAATAGAAACGGGACTGAGTCATTAGAAAGTACGGTGCCTAGTGGCATAATAAGCGAGCCTTTGAAGTAGCGGGTTGGAAGATTCAGAACGATGCTTTGCGTGTATAAGTGTCGACGTAGTGCAACGCAAGCGGAATGTTGGCTGCGACGTTTTTTTGCGGCGTGCTAAAACTGACTCCTCTAGTGGTGCTCACAGTGCCCTTACGTTATCTATTTATGAAACTCAATTCTCTCGTTGCTGCAATTTGGTCAGCCAAGCTGTCACACTGGCGTTGCGTATTCAGGTAAACAAAAGAGAAAACGTTGGCATATCGCTGGCTCGTGTTCATTCTGACCTAACACGAGGCAGTGGACGTTGTGCAACACATTTTTCGATCGCACAGAGAGATGCGCTTTTAGAACTATACAAAACGGGAAGCCGTTTAAAAAATGCGCGTTTTCTCTGTCCACATGCAAAATGACGAGTGTTTTCGGGATATGACGCAGCTAAGAACAATGTCTTATAAAACCAAAACATGTTCAAAACGGGGAACAAAAAAGCATTGAGGAAAAAGAATACAACCCTCACGGCTATGCATCTTAGAGCGAAATAACCGCATATGGCAGCTGCTAACACAGCGAAGAGCTATTTGCGCAATCAAAAGCCCACCAACTGGGGTTCGCACGATTTATGCTTGGCGTGTGCATAGCCGGGAAGCGACGCTGCATTATGTCACGGTGTCAGCGAGTCACTCGGCCGTCGCCACATGTCCGGCTTTCTAGAGAGCATCCCCCCCCCCCCCCCTTCCTGCTGGTCATTCACACCCAGACCAGTATTGATCCCCGTCCCGAGTGTTACGTTGCATACTCACCCATCTCGACGGCGTCCAAGTAT